AGTTTAAATATTCCCCTACAACCATTTCAATTTTCATTCAGTAGCCCGGTTCCATGATGATAAAGGTGCAATCCATTTTTGTACAGGTTCCTCCAATTTCAAAAGGTTTTCCTTTTTCAATTGCATTTGAATTGCTTTTGTCTATACCAGCGTATTACTCATGTACTGGAGCTGAATCTCTGTCTGCCTCTCAGGTCTCATACGAAACTGGCAGTCTTTCAAAGAAAAGCTAGATGCACGTCCTAGACTTCAGTTTCCTGCCCAGCCTGAATTTATAATCTCAAGAACATCCCCCTACACTTTCCTCCATTACTGGTTATCAACACAGGTCACAATTATTGGCTCCTTTCCAGTACACTGAAGTAATGTCTCTAGAGATACTGTGAGATCCACTATCTTTCCAGATGCAAAGATTACTTTGTATCCAAGGCTTCTCTGATGCCATAAACCCAGTTACCTATGTACCTAATAATTGAATAGTCCCATTTTTTAAGATACTCTCTGTTGCTAGAGCATCCTTGATGCAAGAGCATACTGTGGTATCAGTTGATAAGCTTTTCTTATATAAGAAATCAGAAATATGCCTATCAGTGGAATATCCTCCTCCCTAAGGCTTTTGTACTCTCTAGAAGCAGAGGGCTTACCACTTTGGAGGTGAAACTCCTCTGCAACATTCTTGTAGGTCTCATTCATTTCTCTACTTCTCCAATTTCTACTCTCTATTTTTCTATTACTTCTCCATTTAATAGAATCTCCAATTCAGCCACTCCTAAAATAAACTTACTACCTCAGGGCCAGGAGGTCCTTGCAGTGTTATACACACTGAAGTTGTCCCATGGGTGGGTAATCACACGTTGTGCTTTGCAGAATACAGTGGCTATCTCCCCCTCCTCCCACTCTTAGATTTACCTATCTGCATCTTGAGCATAAATTACATTCTTTCTTGGAAGTTTACATTAGTTTAGCTTCTTTGAAGAAACTACTTATCTTACTCAACCCTCTTTAAACTAGTTAGCAATAGGTAAATATACTCAAGAGTGTGAAAAAGTCCCACACATCCACAAACAAGAGCATCCAGCTCATCCGAGGCTCTTTGTACGTTCACCAATGTTTGCCATACAGGTATATGCTACACATATACAGAGGGAATTCTGGGGAGGGGATTCTACTTTCTGGCTTACCTATCATAGTTCGTTAAGACCCAGTCATCACAGTCAGTGGAGTACAGACTCACTAAAGAAATGCAGATGTCCATTTCAAAATCAACTGAACAGCTCTGGAGATCTCCCTGAATGTTCACCACATCTTCATTGACTATAATAAGTGCATAGACAACTAGCTTTCACAAAGACACCTCAAGTTAGGCAAGCTGAATCCTACTGTTCTTTCCCAATCAAATCACAGATAATTGTAAGGCTGTCAAGTCTCATGTCTTTTGTGCAATCTGGCAAGTCCTGGTGAGTAACTGCTTATTTGTTTGGACTAGCAGAATATTGTTCTCTGACTGCACATGTGCATCAGCTGTGGTGCCTTTGTGTAGAAAATTAGTTGGTTTTCCTATTTCCACCTTGTTTCTGTCTTTTATGAAAAAAGACAGAAAAGAACAGTAAAACCAGACAAAATAATTCTAGGATGCAGTCTGATCACAGCTTCCTATCAGATACAAGCAGAAGCACCAACAAGCTGAGTATCTTCCTATGTAAAGACTCAAAACACTTTTTGCTCCCTTTTTGACAGCATGAGACAGCCTTAGCTGAGCATGTAAGAAGCACAACTGCCAACGACTTCTCATCAGTCATAGCAAAAAAAAGCCAAAGTAAGTACAAAATAATGTCTATTACTAATATTCTACTGACCATATTAGCAATCTATGTTTACCTATATCAGAGAGAAAAGATCAATTTTCAGTTATATACATTCATCTTACAAGTTCAAAAATATGCAAACGTCAAAGGAAATCATGTGTATTGCAACTAATTCATATATTTTTTCTCTTACTCTTTCTTGAATGAAATCTAGAAATGAAAAAGCAATGAAAACTGTAGTAGATAGGAAAGTTCCAACATCCACACTCCATATTACATATGCAAAAGTTAAAGGGTATAACTATAAAGTGCTTATTTTTTTCCTGAAAGTATTAGACAACCTGAGAAAGTCTTGAAGTGTATTTTCTTGCAAACTACATTGCAACACATGTAGAGGAGGAAAACATCCAAGATGAAAAATAAAAAAAAATCCAAGTATGTCTAAGGAAATATATATATACACACACAAAAATATATTTTATTTTTAAATTGGTTAATTAAATCAGCTTAGTTGCTGACCTTGCCTGGCTGTGCAATGCCCACCCAGCCACTCTCTTAATCTCCCTCCTCAACAGGACAAGGGAAAAAAATAAGATGACAAAGCTCATGGGTTGGTAAGAACAGAGAGATCACTTACCAATTACCATCACAGGCAAAATAGACTTGACTTGGGGAAAATAAATTTAAGTTATTGCCAATTAGAAATAGATTTTTGGACAGCGAGAAACAAAGACAAACTCTAAAACCAGATCCCCCCCACCCCTTTTTCCCAGGCTCAACTTCACTCCTCCATTCCCAACTCTTCTACCTCCTCCTCTCACCCTGAGCAGTGCAGGGCAGGTGGGGAATGGGGGTTGTGGTCAGTTCGTAACAGCTCCTCTCTGCTGCTTCTTCCTCCTCACACTTCTCCCCTGTTCCAGTGTGGGTCCTCTCCACGGGCTGCAGTCCTGCAGGGTAAGACTGCTCCTGCATGGGCTCCTCTCCAGAGCCGCAGGTCCTGCCCAGAGCCTGCTCCTGTATGGGCGCTCCATGGGCTGCAGTTCTCTCAGGGGAGATGCTGTGCCGTGGGGTCCTCCATTGGCTGCAGCGTGGATATCTGCTCTGGCGTGGTCCTCTCCACAGACTGTAGGGAAATACCTGCTCCACCATGGTTCTCTCCAGGGGCTGCAGGGGAATCTCTGCTCCGGCACCTGGAGCACCTCCTCCCCCTCCTTCTTCACTGACCTTGGTGTCTGCCGGGTTGCTTCTCACACATTTTTTCCTCACTCCTCTCTCTGCTGGGCAGTGTTTTTTACCCTTTCTTAAATATGTTTCCACAGAGGTGCCACCATCTTGGTTGAGGAGCTCAGCTGTGTCCTGCGGCAAGTCCACTGGAGCTGACTAGAACCAGCTGTGTCCAGCACGGGCAGCCCCTGGCCTCTTCTCACAGAGGCCGCCTCTGCAGCCCCCCCTCTAAACAAAACCTTGGCACCTACACCCAATGCAGCTGCATAAACCTTAATACAAATAAATGTATCTTCAAGTGAAGAAAATATTGAAGTATATTTACCTGGATTAATTCTTGATTATTTTTTTAAAGAAAGGAACTGGTTTATGTTAATCTAGAGGAAAACAATTATAGAGCATGAGCCTACCATGATTATCCAGGTATGCACACCCTGACATAGTCAGAAAGCCTTGCTGATTGCTGTAAGACTTGCATAGGCATGATATATGTCTCAGCAGGATGAATGCAGTGTTAGAGCCTTTAAAAATATGACACCTGCAGCACTGTCTAAACTAGGAATCACATTGCATGCAATTAGAATGAACATCAAAAAATGAAGGCATCATTCTGACAGACATGTCAAATGTATATGTATATTGTTTCTTTCTATGAATTTCTACTCTATGCATTTTCAAACACCTCAGTATGAAATGTGGTTATCTTTTCAATATGATTTTGTGACATTGTCTACAGGACATTTAATATCTCATTCTCTCAAAATGGGCGGAAGTGAAAATCATGGATGTTGCTAGAGAAAATATTACCCAAGGGTATTTTGTATTAGCATTGGCAACAGCTGATAATCATTCAGATTTGCAATATCGTATCATGATGCACACTCTGTTGAGTTGAATTACTTATTTGCTGACTTCTTTCTCTAAAGGAAGTTGGAATATTCCAGCTAGATTTACTCCTTGTGTGACACTGTCATGGTTTTTCAACAGAAAACTTATAGACCATACTTCCTTTATGTAATATGAGATATTTTTAATTATCTAGTACTTTTAGCAATATATAAAAAAATATGAAAGGTCCCTACATGCACATAGAAGTTAAAAAGATGTTTGGATAACATTTTGGAATGTGTTTTTGACAATTCAGAAGCACTATATTAGAAGCCAGATAGCCCAAAGGGAGGCAGATCTCGTGCCAGACTTTCTTATGAGACCAAATACATTTACAAGGATCACATCCCAAGATCTGATTAAACTCTGTTTGGTACAAAACCTGAAAAAGTCTAAACCAATTCAAATACTTTCCCCAAGGTGTGGCCAACATTGTAAGGGCTGTTCATTGTTACGCCAGATACAGTCACCTTCTACGAGCTGGTTTGCTGACCTTGGGAATCTTCATGGCACAAACTCGCATATACGGATGCCTTCTTATCCACAGCCATTCCCCATGATAATGTAAAAATATTCTTGAACTTAAGAGGAGGAAGTGGGCAGTGTATTTTGTACACCACAGTTTTATATCACAGAATTCTACAATTACCTGGATTTTGATATTTTAAACACGAGTCATGCCTACTTTCAGTGTAGAACATTGCATCTCGAGGTTTACTATTCAAATATACAGTTAAGCTACAGCAAATGGGGCTCGCAATGCAAATTAGGTAGTTATGTCATCCATGCTGAACCGTGGAATAAATGATTTTCAGGTAGTGTTGGCTTAGCTGGCTGTAGCTTTTCAGATTTATCATTCAAACTTCACCTTTTAAGTTCTTTAGACATTTTCTCAATGGTCTTTTTTAATGCAGTTTCATGTAAGTAACAAATAATGAGCTTTTCAGAATGGATTTGAAACAACTGAATTTCTGTCATGCATTTTCAATAAACTGACCCATTCAGAAGTTACTTAAATAAAAATGAGTTTCAAGCAGCGTATTATCCTTTCCCCTATTATTAAAATGAAATTTGAAGACATACATTAATATTTATCTCACATCTTGAGCTGGTCCATCCTGAGTCACAAGAGCATTGATATCCATCAATGAGATCTATACATCTGAAATACAAAATAGTGTTATTCAGATGAAGCTATGTAATTCTAGATTCAGCACTAGTAGTATCATTCCATACATTTCAAAATAGTGGCCTGATGTAAGCTACTGAAATCCATGGCACTTTTAATTAGTTTTAATAATGGGTTCCAAATGTGTGTATTATGGGTGCTGAGGGGTTTTGTAAGGATACCGATTCTCATATTACAAGACATCTTCCCATTTCAACCCGTTGGCATGTTAACAGCTAAAGATTCGCTTTTAAGTGTATTAAACTCTAATTAATCCATATGTACTGAAAACTGGTTTATGCTAATGAACAAAAATCAAAGAGAAACTGAGATAATGTAACAGTATATTACATTAGTTTAAGCAGGCAACATCTGTCATCTTTAAGTGTGCTTGTACTCTTACTTTATGGAAGAACATAATTAAAAGTGTATTTATCAACCTTCCCATACCATTAAATCTTAAATATTGCTAGTTATGTACATTATGTTGGAGATAACAATACTTAAATAAAAATAGCCACCTTCCATGAAGACAAGGATCTGGCAAGCATTCGTTAACATTTATCTCGCAGTTTGTTCCAGTAAAACCTCTCCTACAGTGACACTTATAGGAACTGATGTCATCAATGCAACTCCCATTGTTGAGGCAAGGAGTAGATATACATTCATCTATATTTACTTCACATCTATCACCTGTGTAAAAAAAAGAAGATATGACTAAGCTTTAAATTCTAAACTCAAACCAACTAACAGTTTATCTGTTAATATTATACATTCCAGATAAACTGTTTTTATTTACATACATTGTTTATACAGTTCATTATATTCATCAATAAAGAATATCCCACTGGAATTACCTATAGGTGCAAATGCTGAAAAGAATGGTTATATTGCAATATATTACAATGGTAACATCTGTAATTGTGGCAAGGCAAGACGGTTTTGAGGGTCAACTTGCAAGCAAAATAGTTAAATGGAGAAATGGAAATTTCAAGAGGAATTTTTTTACACAGTTATTGGAAAGATGAATAGCACAGGTTTCCTATAAGAGGAATAGAGAATTAAAATGATACATGTCTTGGTGATGTGATCTAACTAATACTTATTTTCTCAAACTGGAATTAAAATACAGGGGCTTTCGGTAAATGATGCAAGATGTAGAATTCTTTGAAATCTTTTTGAAGACATTCATTATGAGAGATATGGTGGTGCACTTTTCTGCTTGCAATTTTCCTGCAAATTGGTGCCACACATCTTTCATCTAAACATCTCAGAGTACTTTATGAAATACTAACTGACAAACAACACGTACCTAGGTCTCTTTGTAGGCAGCTACTGCCCACTGCTGGGTAGGCAACTAAGCCCCACACAGCCACTCACTCACTCCCCTGCAGTGGGATGGGGGAGAGAATCGGAAGGGTAAAAGTGAGAAAACTCGCGCGTTGAGATAAAGACAGTTTAAAAGGGAAAGCAAAAGCTGCGAACGCAAGCAAAGCAAAACAAGGAATTCATTCAGCTCTGATCGTTCATGCTCCTTTGACACTCTTGCTCGTTTAGTGTCACACTCTCTGGATCACTGGTGTCTTATTTGATATCACTACATGTAAGAACTTAAAACTTTCAGAAATAGATATTTTGTGAACATATTGCCAAAATCTAAATTCAGAACAGAGAAGCCAAGTTCATCTGTTCTATTATAGAAGATCTAATTATCAAAGAGGCAATTTTCCTTGTAAGTCAGCACTAGGAAAGAAGATTCTTAATCTGCTCTTATCGAGGAATACTTCAAAAGCATTTGCAGGACAGTAGTACTACACAATAATATACTCCGAGTTCACTTTACTTGAAGCTCTGAAGTGATTATTTTCTTGTATCTGAATGGTGAGGGCATCTCTGTAACATCGTATTTCTATTCTACACCATTACAAAAAGAAAAAGGTAATTTCATGATTGTTGATCTTTCGATTTTCCTGGTCCATTTAGCAAAGACTGTGAGTTTTAAAATGTGATAGTCCCATGGTTATGGGTTTTTTTGATAAATTAATAACTCCAATCTTTGCTCTCATAACCAGCTGTATTTTCACTCAATCATGCTTTCATTCCTATCTTTCCAACGCTGCTGATCAGAAATGGTATTAGCTTCCCATGCAAACAAAAAGGTCTGTTCTCCTAAGAATTCTTACTAATTTAAACTTAATGAATTAGTGAGGGGACATATTAATGAAATGGGTAGTATTAATGTACACAGACTGGTGTGTTTTTTTGTACTATGTACTCTTACTAAAACAATAGAACTTACTTTTAAAAACTCACTTTCCTAGTTAATCACACATGTTACTCAGGAGGCGCAAATCTGTATTTTAAGAGTTAAAGGTTCTCAGTTCGAATGTAGTAATTTGCTTTTGATAATAAGATGTATGTGAAAGAATAATTAAAAAATAGTTTTAGTGATTTATGAATTGTTAAGGCAGATATGTCTGATCTTGAAGAAAGCAAACCCCAGAATAGCTCTGTTCTTTTTCTTTTTAAATTATTTAAAATAGTTTGCTTTATAAGTAATCCAATGCCATTCATTCTTACTGCTACCTTTCACTGCTGCTGTTTTCTATCCTCTGCATAGGTATAATACATCCACTGAAGGAAATAAACTTGAAATCAAATTACATTATATTTTAAAAAAATAGTATACTGCTAGTCAGATATTTAAATATTAGTTCAGCAATATAGCAGTAGCAGATTCCAAAATCACCTAATGAAATTTGATTTGACTATAATCAACCCATTAGAAGCTTGGCTGAGATACCTCAATGGCTGCAGCCATTCATTTGAAGAGGTTGACACATATTGATATATTGATTCTGAAAGACAGATTAAAATTAAAGTAATCACTGATAATTATTCCATATTCACATGTGCTTGCATTACTGCATAATCTATTGAGAAAGGAAAAATTATAGTTCCTTTAGATGATTAACATCTTGTAATTAGATTGTTTTACATTCCTGACTTACTGTTATTTATGCTACATTCATCTACTACCTCAATGCCATTGAATAAATTTTTGCCTCAACAGCTCAATGAATGCAATGACAATGCAGTAAAAATCCATTACTTGATTGTGGGAAAAGAAGACTCAGTGCATAAACTGAATGTGTCAATAAATGATTACAAAAATTACATTTCAAAAGACAAGACATATTGAGAAAAACATATTTTACATCTTCCTTTCATTCCTAGAAAAAAAACTTACAATCATAACCTTGGAGAGTTTTAAAAACAGGAATCATTGCAGTATTTCTTTAAAAAAAAAAAAAAGTGTTCAGAATTACATACTCAGAATTATGAAATTGTGGAGAAATATTCGTGTACATTATATAGAGGGATTTTCCTTTTCTGCAACTTGAAGACTGAAGACTTAAACTAGATATGACTTAATATATTTAATAGTCACAATAAAAGAGAACATGTCAGTTAAATGCCACAGAATTGCAATCAAATCTTCAACAGCTCTTAAAAGAAAACAAAATTAATAGGTTACTTCCATTGAAGTGCCCGAACACTTGCTTGCTTGATTTGGGGGGGGGAGGGGGGAAGTAATGAATTTAGTAAAATTCTGATCAAAGTGCCAAATTAGAACTAGTCATAGATATTGTTAATGCAAAGGAAATGGTTCCTTCTTGTATGGTTTCATGTCTTTTGTAAAGGCCTGCATACCTCCTCTTGGACAATCCAATAAAATATTCATAATGAATTAATGAAAAAATAAGCCCTCAGAATAACTACATAAATTGAAGAAAGTAACTATTTTTAGTATTCTAGACAGGGTATGCTTATGCAAGATTAAAAACTTGTAAAATTATTTTTCTACAAATATGTGATTTTCTGGAAATGACAGTGGGCAGAATGTATGTGCCCATTCCTCAGCTTCTATGTGGCAGTGAAAAGAACAGAATTCAGATAATATTGTGTTAGGGAAGTCAGAGTGTAATACATCCCACCTAATCTTAACTAGCGTAAAATTAAGCAGCTAGTTTAAGATAGGTGGCTAAACTCGCTTTAAAATCAATAGAGAAGCAGCTTCAAAGGGTGACCTGTATCATGTCTTGGACACCACTTACCTTCAATGTCCTAGCGGTGGCAATGACTGCAGAAGGAAATTAAATGAGTAATTTGGACTAGCTGCCTAGTTTTTAGAGGACTAAAACTAGGGGAAATTAAGCCTATTGCTAGTATCAGCTGTAAACATCATTACCCATGTAACACAGCTTGCTCCACATTTTTCAAATCTACAATTTCATGTTTTGTGGTGTGTATAGGAGTTTTTGGAACACCAGCACGAGTCCTGAAATAATGTTTCCTTTAAATAAAGTTTTTCTTCTCAGCCTCAGTTCTCCCATTCCTTAGAGTTCAGTGAGAACGTATCACAGTAGTCTTCCTTTATTTCTGTCCAAATACTGTGAAATACTGTACCATCAATTTTCAAGGAGATCTTTGCTTAAGAGAATGCTTAATGTCACAAAGTGTCTTTAATCTCCAGGTGTATCTGAAATACAGGAACCAAAACTCATGAAGTAATGTTCAGGCAGGGAATAACATGGGAAGCTAGAGAAATAAAACTTTGTGCTTAGTTTCTTTAAGAAACGGGTATCATGAATTAGATTCTGCCAAGAAAGACTGAATCTGATGGAAAGAACAGAAACACCTTGTAGTGACATCTCCATATTCTGCCCTTACTAGGAAAGCTTTAGCAATATTAATAGGCAAAATGGATTTTTAGTCCTGCCAGTGTTAAAGTTTCAGACATATGTAGAGAGTAAAAGTCCATTTTATCATTCCCACCCTAAAAGGAATTTGTGAGATTTGTTGTGAATACAGACTACAATCATCACAGTAATACCGTACTTATATGAGCTTATTATAGGGGCTTAATTCATTGGGTTTTTTTAACTCAGACTGTTTTTTTTAAATCACCATTCATCTAACAGTTGTCTTCATTACTGATATAACTCCAAGAAATATATAACTGTAAACAATTATAAATCCTCAACAGAAGTTGTGGAAAAACACTAGAATATGATACTTAACACTGGTAGTTATTTACAGCTTCAAAACCTTAATTTGGACAGATAGAAAATATGTATTCAAACATGTTCCATCTTGACCATGATCAAGAATGGTAACTGATCATTCTTAGCTGACTTTTTGCACAAGAGAAAAAACCAAGAAAATAATACAGAGCAAAAAATGTATCAGCTGAGCTATCTGGGCTCAAAAGCAATGTAAAGATAAACAGGTATGTGGAAAAATAATGTAATAGGATCTCATAATTAAAGCAAAACCAAGCTGGGATGAGTACTAGGTGAAAAATTCAGATATTTTATCTATTACAGGAAGAGACGGAAGATACATCTTGAAAAAATACGGTATGTAATAATTTCTACCAGCTATAAATTTATTTCCACAGCTTTTGAAATATTTTCTATAATAAATACCTTTTATGAATACATATATGTACAAAATCACATTGTAAATAAATGCTTTAGTCTCCCTAGAAGACATTTTTCAGCAGAATTAACTTTGATACAATATGCCCCAATCATCATATTCTAAAACAACCATCTTACAAACCTAGAAATATGTTGCCTCTTAAAATTAGTAATTGACTGCAAAGAACTAGTACTCATTTTGTCACA